GTGTTTATCAATGTATCTAGAAAAGGAATTTTGTTGCTATTATTAAGTTCGTATGTAAACTTAAGTACAGAATTTTCCTAGAATTGTTCTGAGAGTTTATGTATTTTTTCTAATTCTTGACAAATATAAGGATATCATTAAGGTAGCTAGAGAGTTTTTTTTTTCTTCTTTTAAATTGTTAAATATATTATTTTCAAGATTACACATATAGAAATTACTAAAAGTAGGACCCAGAACTGAATTCATTGAGACGTCACCATGTTGTACATATACAAGGTGTCCATAAAGTGTGCGTGCAATTTAAAATACTTAAGTATTTTAAATTGCACACAGACTTTATGGACACCCTATATATTAATTTTGTGAACATAGAATGAGACTTCGGTAGTGCAAGTTAGCAGTAGATTTCGTAATATACTAGGTATAATTTTAAGTGGAGGTAGAGAAGAATTATTGTATATGTTTCTCATAATAATATCGATAGTTTCGCTAACTATTGGATACTCTCAGCGAAAGGATCCAACTGAAAATAAGTAGACAAAACTTGTCTAAGTTATTCAATGAAACATGTCTCAACAAAAACATGATGCCAACATATACGCAATATATATAGGACGAAAGGGCCGACCAGCGATTTCTGCATTCCGGTGAGGTTTCTTCAAGACTCGATGAATTACTTAATTTCTATCACTTATATATATATATATATATATATATATATATATATGAACAGGTTTTTCTTATTGCTGCACGAAGACAAAATAGCTTTAAGGACAAGGATCATAATTTTATTGATAAAATAGATACAAAAATATCACATGTAAGAATAGGATTTGAGACACCTTTCGACCGACACTGCCTCAGAAACAGAATCGTTGACAATATAAAACACAGATGCTGATAAGAAATTTTTTTTATCAGCAACTGATACTAAGAAATAAATTACCCATTAGGCATTTGGGGTGGGGGTGGGGGCTAATAAATAAAAAAAATATTACTAAATATGTTTCTAGTTATACAGTAGTTTCCCCGAATAGGGCCAACCTATATTTCATCTCCCGTTGTCTACACAGGGCAGGACGTTGCATGTTAATAATGATAGACACCCGGATGTCTAAATTTTTTAATAATTGATTTCGATGTTTTGCGACTTCGTGCTAGCAGTTCTATCGGTGGCCTCGAAGGATTCCGACTAACCATCTTGGATCAAACCGTGGTATGGTTTTCAGTCATTTTCCAAAGTTGACAGAGGCTGGGATCGACACCTCCAGTCCGATAACAAAATCGACCATGCTGAGATTCGAACTCTGCTCTCATGGTCAGAATGCGAACGCTCTAACCACTCGGCCACGTGCCCAAAAATATGCATATATATATATGTATGTATGTATGTATGTGTGTGAATGTGTGTGAGCGCGTGTGTGTGTGTAGATGTGTGTTTAGGCGGCATATCTTCATTCAAACATGCTTGATTGAATAATCTAGACATATATCTACTTATTTTTAAATTAATCCTCTCAAATTTACAGATCAATTTCTTAATGTTCTTATTAAATAGATTAAGAAAGACGCTGCAGTTTTCATCATTTCTTTTATTTTACCAAGTACTTTCAACCTCACCCAAGATCATCTTCGGAGGTGAATTTCTAAAAGAAAAACTGAATACAATTGACGGTTGGGAATGCTTTGTAAATGCGCATGAAACGCGCTCCGTTATAATCTATTTAAAATCAATAAAATTTCCAAAGAAACTTGGGAATTCACAGATAATAAAGAAAAGGAATCTATGGAGAAAACAATGAAAAAAAATACCCCACTGTATTTCGCAAGAAGTCATGGACATTCACAGAAAAATAAAGAAAAGGAATCTGTGGGGAAAGCAACGGGAAACCACTCCACTATCTTTCCCAAGATTCATGGCAATTCACGTATAATAAAGAAAAGTAATCTGTAGAGAAGGCAATGGGAAAGCACTCCACTATCTTTCCCAAGATTTCATGGCAATTCAAAGATAATAAAGAAAAGTAATCTCTAGAGAAAGCTACGGAAAGCCATTCCACTGTCTTTCTCAAGAAGTCATGGCAATTCACATATAATAAAGAAAAGTAACCTGTGGGTAAGGAAATGGGAAAACACTCCACTATCTTTGCCAAGACGTCATGGTAATTCACAGATAATAAACAAGGCATTTCACAACGGAAAATAAAGAAAAGAACCATTTCACATGGAGAAGGCAATGGGAAACCACTCCACTATATTTCCCAAGAAGTCATGGGAATTCCCAGATAATAAAGAAAAGGGATCTGTGGAGTAGGCAACGGGAAACTACTTCACTATCTTTCCCAAGAAGTCATGGCAATTCACAGATAATAAACAAGAGGGATCTGTTGAGTAGGCAACTGGAAAACACGCCACTATCTTTCTCAAGTAGTCATGGTAATTCACAGATAATAAAGAGAAGGAATCTTTGAAGAAGGCAATGGGAAACCACTCCACTATCTTTCCCAAGAAGTCATGGCAATTCACAGATAATAAAGTAAACGAACCTGTGGAGAAGTAAATGGGAAACCACTCCACTATCTTTCCCAAGATGTCATGGCAATTCACAGATAATAAAGAAAAGGAATCTGTGGAGAACGCAATGGGAAACCACTCCACTACCATTGCCATAAAGTCATGGCAATTCCCAGAACGTCTTCTCAATTCACAGATAATAAAGAAATGGAATCTGTGGAGTAGGCAACGGGAAACCACTGCACTATCTTTCCCAAGAAGTCATGGCAATTCACATATGATAAAGAAAAGTAACCTGTGGGTAAGGAAATGGGAAAACACTCCACTATCTTTGCCAAGACTTCATGGTAATTCACAGATAACAAACAAGGGGAATCTGTGGAAAAGCCAACGGGAAACTACTCCACTATATTTCCCAAGAAGTCATGGCAATTCACAGATAATAAAGAAAAGGAATCTTTGGTGAAAGCAACGGGAAACCACTCCACTAACTTTACCAAGAAGTCAAGGTAATTCACAGATAATAAAGTAAAGGAATCTGTGGAGAGGTAAATGGGAAACCACTCCACTATCTTTCCCAAGAAGTCATGGCAATTCACAGATAATAAAGAAAAGGAATCTTTGGTGAAAGCAACGGGAAACCACTCCACTAACTTTACCAAGAAGTCAAGGTAATTCACAGATAATAAAGTAAAGGAATCTGTGGAGAGGTAAATGGGAAACCACTCCACTATCTTTCCCGAGAAGTCATGGCAATTCACAGATAATAAAGAAGAGGAATCTGTAGAGAAGACAACGGGAAACCACTCTACTATCTTTCCCAAGAAGTCATGACAATTCACAGGTTATAAAGAAAATGAATCCGTGGAGTAGACAACGGGAAACCACTCCACTAACTTTGCCAAGAAGTCATGGTAATTCACAGATAATAAAGTAAAGGAACCTGTGGAGAATTCAACGGGAAACCACTCCACTCTCTTTCCCAAGAAGTCATGGCAATTCACAGATAATAAAGAAAAGGAATCTGTGGAGAAGGCAGTGGGAAACCACTCCACTCTCTTTCCCAAGAAGTCATGGCAATTCACTGATAATAAAGAAAAGGAATCTGTGGAGAAGGCAACGGGAAACCACTCCACTCTCTTTCCCAAGAAGTCATGGCAATTCACAGATAATAAAGAAAAGGAATCTGTGGAGAAGGCAGTGGGAAACCACTCCACTATCTTTCCCAAGAAGTCATGGCAATTCACAGATAATAAAGAAAAGGAATCTGTGGAGAAGGCAACGGGACACCACTCCACTATCTTTCCCAAGAAGTCATGGCAATTTACAGATTATAAAGAAAATTAATCTGTGGAAAATGCAACGGGAAATCACTCCACTATCTTTCCCTATATCTGTTAATTCTCAAATAACTCAAAAACATAAAGTATATTTTGAGAGGCATGACCGCCTATATCCCAAGCAATAATCTTTATAAAACTCCTATTGCATCAGTTGTCTAGTTTGACATGCTCCAATATATAATATACATCGGGACAAAACATGCCTAGTTTTTAAAAAATGTTCCTCAATTATCTGTATATTTTTCTTAATATTATTTTTATTTGTTTCGTTTTGCATACAAGCAACTTGAAACGCTTTCTTTGTTGCTTAAATCATCATCATCCTCTTTCGTATTCACAATAATCGTTCCAAATTATTTTTTGTTTGGTTTTTCTTTATTTCCTGTTGAAATATTCCAATTTTATTGTCTGCTATTGTTCGGCTAACATTACCGTTGAGTACAAATACAACCCTTGTCAACTATGAAAAAAAATGCTTAGCAAATTAGATGACGGACAGTTCTACTAAAGAGACGTCATATAACTAGCCACAGCCCAGTGTGTGAAAGGGAGGAGATTCCGAATAAAGATTAAATTGTATTTTATCGCAAGTAAATTACAAAAGCGAAAAAAAGGAAAGAACGATGTAAGATAGATTAAGGAAGATAAGAAAAATAAAAAGAAAGCCCAGAAAGAAATTAACCAAAGATATCAGCAGTTTCCGTTTAAGAATAAAAAAAAAGCAAAAAGAAAACGCATTTTTAGTCTTTCAATGTTTGTTTCGGCTTCTGCTGTTGGTGATACATAGGAACTGAAAGTTTTCACAGTCTTAACATCCAAATACCTTCTAGAACCTTGGCGTAAACTATTTTGCACGCGGTAAGTAAATCCATACTTTCTGATGTCGATAATATACTTGCAAATTTTAACACATGATTACATTCAACTAGAATACTTCTAACACTTTTTATGTTGACCATGAGCCTTATATTTGCCATTAATATGATAACGTTTCGACTATTGTTCTCTCCTTCTTCAGAGTAATATTCGAAGAATTTCATAATTAACTCTTTATCTACGAGGGTGGATTTTTTTTCTCGTTCCGATATCCAAGTCTCGGGATATCTCGTCCTTTTCTTTTAATACTGCTCAGTTATTGCTGGCTTACGGCCATATCACGTTGAAACGTCGATTCTCGTACAATCACCGAAGTTGAGCAACGTCGAGCCTGGTTAGTACCTAGATGGGTGGCCACTTGGGAATACCAGGTGCTGTAAGCATGGATGTACGGGTGGTGTAAAGGATAACGGCTCGGAATTGTAAATCAGAGAGCCGAGTTCCAATTCCAGTCGAGTTCGTTAAATTCACTTGCACGGAAATACCCTTGGGAAAGGCATGAATCCACTTCTTCCACACTAGCTGTGTGTTAAGTAGTAGGACTTGTATCATATATTATTATTTTTCTACAATAATTTCTTAAAATCTAAAAATATTTGCTGGCTGTAAATAACCTGCAAAGGGTTGATAAGCCGTAAAAAAAACAATCTGTTATTGCTCATTTAGTTTCACGGCTTCTAAATCTTCATGGTACAATAGTCGTGTGGATTGAAGCGTTGTTTCTTAAATGTGGTGACATTGTGAGTTCAATCTCAGGGCCGGGTTGTATGGACTTACACTCAATGGCAACAGGGCGAGCAATGACTGAGCAGTGCTAAAATGAACGAAACGCGATATCCCTGATGAAGGCACAGCGACCGAAACGTTGTGATTATAACAATAAAAATAAGGACAATAGTATGAATGCAAATAATTATAACTCCTCCTCCTCCTAGAAAGGTTTAAGATGTTACAAAGTTATCTTTTATGAAAACAATGTCGAACTTTCATTGTCTTTTCTAGTAAATGAAGTCCTGATGGTGAAACGCGTAATTTTCGACTTATGGTTTTATCGTAGTAGCCATTATAAATAGATGTAATATGAATGAATGTCATATAATCCAATCATTACAATTTGAAATATTATGGGCTGATGCAGAATGATTTGTCAAAATATAAGAACCAGTCATGAACACTCCAATGAAATTATCTCACTTCAGAGCAATAGAAATTAAGCTAAATCATGCAGATTGTTACATGAATTTTATCCGCGATGAATGCCACACACTATCCAAGTATGCCTTTCTACTTGGACGGCTAACCTATCCCTATTGCATTCGCCTGCAGATTTGTATTTATTCAACACCCACAGAGCCCACTGCAAATATGCTGAAGGGAGCATAGTTACAGTATTGAATAAAGGGTTCAGAATGAAATTCTTTGACGGTTACCCAAATTGACCTGATGAAGGCATAGTGATCGAAACGTTGGTATAATGACAATAAAGACGAGAACAATAATCTGAATGCAAATAATAATAACAATAATATGAATGCAAATAATGATAACTGAACAAGGCCAGCACGTTCAAACCCTCGGTCACAATGACTGGCGACTTCGTGCTCGCACAACCATCGACGACCACCAAATAGTTCTGTTTACTCATTGTCACTCACAAGACTTGGGTCAACCTTCCGAGGGCGCCGCACGCTGGCATCACCTCCCCTGGATGATATCATCGAGAAGTCACCTTCCTGACACATCGACCATTGTGAAATTCGAACCCTCGTCTCAAGTTCGGAAAGCGAACGTTCTAACGTCTCGACCACTTGCAAGACTAAAGTTACCAACCAAAGAGCCTGTCATAGAGTAAGGTTTAACAACCTTGTTTCGCAAACGATTGTTCGTAATTTCGAGTCTAAACCGTCGAGAAGAAGGTAGAAATTTACCTAAACCCAAACAAAGATTATTCTTACTGACCCTATATCCAATATATTACTGACACTATCTTACTGACCCTATATCTTACTGACCCTATATCCAATATATTAAAGCACGTCCCACTCGAACAGATTCTTCCCGCGAATCGATGCTCTGTGGTATCACTACCAAGAGAATGCTTCCCCGATCACTACAAAAGTTTAGGGTTAACCGTTATCACTCCAACATATCCGCATAAACTCTGCCTCTTACTCTGTAACCCTCTACTTCGAGTGGCTCTTGGGCCCTGTACAGGGTGAATATCATTGTAAAAAATGTATATAAAGCAATTTACATGAGATCAAATCACAGCAGAGGAAGAATCTATGACAACGGAAGGATTAAAGACAGAAAGTAAAAAAATTAGAAATCTTAAGGAAAAAAGGGGGAAAGCTAGTTTACGACAAAGGGATAAAAGCTGCACTGACGAAAAAAAAGACTCGCTATTTAATGTCCACGGATTTCCTTTTCCGGTAATGTACACTTTCAGTGCAGCATATACGAAGATTTTCGAAAGAATCTTCGGCAATCCTGTGCTATCACAAACCACCAAGCTCATGGTCTACTGAGCTCTCGACTCTCCTTTACGCCTGTGAGACCAGGGTACCCTACCGAAGAGACATCCGAAAACTTGAAGGATTCCGTCAAATGAAACTTTGCCAAATCCCGCGTAACACGTGGCACGGACGGATCACAAACAACGAAGTTCTCATCCGCGCGAAGATGGAGGGAGCCTAGAAAACCATCATAACTCGCCAACGACTTCGATGGACCGGAAAAAAACCTCTTCTCGGATCTCGCATCTGGAAAGAGACCACGTGGAGCCCCAAGTTGTAGATTCAAGGATCAGCTGAAAAACACGTTGCTGAGGACAGGAATCGATCCGGTTAATTGGGAGACAGAAGGTCCAGAAAGAACCAATTGGAGAAGAGCAGTCCACGAAAAAGACAAGATCCTTCGAAAACACCAGAAGAGACGAAGAGAGGCCCCCCAAAAAAAGAGCCAGAGTTCCCCATCTTTTAAACCCTCCTCCTACTATACCATGCGGTGACTGTGAACGTCTCTTCAAATCCAACATAGGACTCATTTCCCAAAGAAGGAAATGTTGATGAGTATCCCAATACTCGGAAATGAGTTCCGGCAACCGATGATAAGTGTAGGTAGAAAAAAGCAAATGTTGATAATATAACGTGGCTCACAAAACACATCCCGGAGCCCCCAATCAGGTCGGGGTGTGTGTTCGTAGGTAGTACGCACCTTCACTGTTTAACACAATAATTATATTCCTTATATATATATATATATATATATATATATATATATATATATATATATATATATATATATATATATTATTATTATTATTATTATAAGAAGAAAGAATATTGTCAAGGCGACGTTCAGACAGATGCAATCTGTCATCATGGCTGTGGACGTCTCTTCAGATCTAACATAGAATTCATTTCACACAGAAGGAAATGACAATGAGCAACCTAATCCTCGGCAACGAGTGTCGCCAACGATTAGATAAAATGGAAGTGTTAATGTATTTGCATAATCAGTCAAAATTATTAGAAAGAATAAGGTCAAGGTGACGTTCTACGTACGAGAAGAAGTGGGCAGATCGGTGCAAGCGGTCATCAAGAGCCTTTCAAGCCCTGGTTTGCTGCATATGATGCTATCTGCTGAGGTGTTGTGTGCCATGGAGTGGTGATCCATGGACCGCTTCAAACAATTCACAGAAAAGGCTTTCATGCTCAAAGACTTTTCTTGTCCTCACGTCTAAAGAGCCAGTTAGAGAAAACAAGTCCATGAAAAAAAAACATCTTTGGAAAACATCAGAAGACAAATGGAAGAGACGAAGAGAATCCAAGAAAAGCAATAAATCTCCATCCTCTGAACCCTTCTACATCTACTATGCGTTGGCTGTGGACGTCTCTTCAGATCTAACATTGGACTCGTTTCACACTGAAGGAAATGCCGATGAGGAACCCAATACTCGGCAACAAGTTCTGCCAATGACGGTGACATTTAATAGACTTTAAATTTTCTCGTTTGCTTACTTTAACACTTGTTCAATGATTAGAGTCTGCTTCTGATACTCATCTGTCCTTTAAGATTAAATGGCTGGTTGCTGAAAGGTTCTTATTCTGACAAAGAACCTTTCTCACCAAAACTTGATGCTTCGGGAGAATTTTTATCAATATCTTTTTCAGTGCATATATATATATATATATATATATATATATTATTTGTCTCGCTAGATCAATTACGACGGAAAACTGAGTTCAATCCTCAAAGTTGCCCCATACTTTTGTCCTTGTGCCACAGCTAAGCTACACATAGAAAACTCACCATATATATCTTACTACCTTAAACGTCATGTTTAGTGTTAGTAATATTTGGGTAGACATCTCTGTTTTAAACCGTGTAAAATTGCATTTACCAGCCTTTGAGACTATTAAAGAAAACGTGTAGGTGGGGTGAGAAAATTCAAACCCTACTTCTCTTCTTGTAACGGCATTCACCCGAGATGGGTTGAGCCGGCTCCAATATTGGAGTTTCATGGGAATTTGGAATTCACAAGTGCTCCCCAACTCGCATGTATAGCACACGAGATTTGATTATAGTGGTGAAGGTTTCGTGCAGGACCATTCACACTTTTTGGAGACCCTCCGCAGGTTTTGAATTCAGAGTTTTCCTTCTCCTAGACCAGTTGCCATCAATCTGTCCTGCTATTTACACATAGCTGGAGGGAGAAGAAGAGGATTCGCACCTTTCCCAAGGGTGTTAGAACGTAAGTGAATGTAATGGATTCGACTGGAATTCGAACTCTGCTCTCCGATTCCTCAATCCAAGGCGCTATCCATTACTCCACCGTGCCTCCCTACTGGAAAGCTCATACTCATTAAGACTGGAATGCACTCGCCAGTAGAATTTAATCCACACTGTTTAAAATAACAAGGTCGTCAGCTCAAATAAGTCTAACAACTTTCAAGTAAAATCTAATGACAAGGATGTTTCGTTTTTTGGGGATTATTCAAATGACTATTTATTTTACTCCAATGAAACGATCAAAAGAATACAGATTAAAGATTAAAGATTAAAAAAAAACAAAAAAAAACATTCTTCATTAACGACTAGGCTCAGGTGCAACGACCTGGTCGCTAAGTGAGAGGTTTTACCTTGCCACTCTTCCAGGTATTTACTGGATGTAATGTGTTTGTGTTAGCCAGCTTAGATAGAATTAAACCTTTGAGCCCTGACCACCGTTTTACCGGTGGTAGAGAAAAATGACGTAATGCCCAACCACCGGTTGAACAGTGGTAGAGAAAATTGACGTAATGCCCAACCACCGGTTGAACAGTGGTAGAGAAAAATGACTTAATACACAGCCGCCGGTTGGAACTATTTTTATATCCACCGTGAAATATTACATACTAATTATTTCCGAATTTTGACTCAGGAACTCAAGCAGAAGGGTTAAATATTTCAGAAATGCAGGGCTGAAAGGGTTAATGCCACTTTTGCACCATTTATTTCCTTTCTAATTTATTTCCAAAGCTTTTTCACGAACTGGAGATATCAACACCAAGGAGGCTCAGAAGTTCAAATATTTGGAAGAGTTTGAACAGAGAATGGAAAATATGACACCAAGATCCGAAGATGTATTGGACTGGTGAAAGAAGCATTTCAAAAGCTAAGCAAAGTGCTAAGAAACGGAAATATTTCGTTTGTAACAAAGAGTTTTTGTAGAGAGGGTTTTTGTAGAGAGACAAATTTTTTTAAAAATATATTACTGGTATTTTTACTAAAAAAAATCTATTTTTAGACATTCCTGGTATTTTGGCTCGAGTTTGAGGGTTAATTATTTGCCCATAGCTGGGACCCTAACAGTTGCTAACAACCCGAGCAAGGGTGAACCTCGAAACAACAGCAATTAAGAGATGGTTCCGCACACCTCAAATCTTCCCGATCAGAAGTCTTGCCGGATGTAGTTTATCGTCATACCCAGGACCTCTCCCATTTGAGGTCTATCTGTCGGATGTTGATTATCGTCATATCCAGGACTTCGCCCAGTCAGAGGTCTTGCTGCCGGATGTAGTTTATTGTCATACCCAGGACCCATCCCAGCCAGATGTTTTGCTGCTGGATGTGGTTTATCATCATACTCATGATCCCTCCCAGTCACAAGTCTTGCTGCCGGATGTAGTTTATCGTCATACCCAGGACCTCTCCCTTTCAGAGGTCTTGCTGCCTGATGTAGTTCATCGTCATACCCAGGACGTCTTGATTCTATAATGTCTTGATTCTGAGAGCAGGTGATGAATAAGAAAATTGATATATAATTAAATAAATCATTACCCCATGACTAAAACACTGGCCGTAATAACTGCAAAAGACTTGTTACGCCAATTGGCAACTGTGATATTATATCATCTGTTATTTGCCTATAACAGTAAAATCCCCAAGGTTTGAATTAATCGGAAATGATTTTCGACATTAGCTTACTCGACATGTGATTTCAAAACATGATAAGACCCCTAACACTTAATTTTCAGTCTATTTTCACAAGACGAATTAAATCTTATGATAATAACCATGATGGAGACAACAGTCTACATGTAAATAATGCAAACAGTTAAGATTATTGATTGATTTGTTTTTTACGGCTTACCAACCTTTTGCAGGTTCTTTTAAACGCAGAGAATATTTTTGGATTGTAAAAAAGATTTGAGATATTAATAATTTACTGATACAATTTCTGCTATTTAACCCATAGCTAGGGAGAAGAGATGAAACCATGCCTTTTCCCAAGGGTATTTGCGCTAAAGTGAATATAACGAACTCACTTGGAATGGGAACTCGGCTCTCCAATTTCTAATTCCGAGTCATTATTCATTACACCACCCGCATCTGCAAGCTTTCAGCACCAAATGGTCACCCACCTAGGTACTGACCAAGCTCGACTCTTGCTTAACTTCGTTGGTCGCACGAGAACCAGTGCTTCAACGTGATATGGCTGTAAGATTTATTGTTATATAAAGCCGAATGATTTTTTAATTTTAAGAATAAATAAATAATTCGTTTTTTTCTTTTTTCCAGGTGAATATTGCTTTAAATTTTTTTTGAAAATAAAAATGGTTTTTCCAGATACACATCCTACTATTTAACCCATAGCTGGCGAAGAGAATAGATGTGTTCATACCTTTCCCAAGGGTATTTACGCTTTAGTGAAAACAAGGAAGAAATAAGTCATTTGAAACATTAGTCTGGGTGATGGAATCGAAAACTCTTTTTGTGGTTTAAAAAAGTATCTAAATTAAAATAAATACCCATTCTATATACCAAGGTAACGAGCACCTACAATGGCTGGATGTTCAGCAAACTTATCCCACCGGCGTCCAAATAAACTGACCTGATAGAGGGTGTGGTGGATAAATTGTCGCAATTTTATATTTTTTTTAATTTTGCGCATGCGCCTGGTTTTTGGGGGGTTTTGTTTTTTTTTTTTTTTATTTTGTCGACTGCAGAGTATAGTAGGGTCAGTTGGGCACCATTGTGAGGAAAAAGAGCACCATGACGCAATTCACTCGACCGGAAATTTGGAAACGGCATACTGTACTGCTTCCCATTCGCGCCGGAAGCTCCAATACGAAATTTTCAGTGTGTTCTGGGTGTCAATCGCTATGCCTTCATTCATCTGCCCACACACAGGGCCTCATACTCAACACAGAGGCCTACATCAAGTATCCTGAGGAGGTAGTGCTGCCCTGGATCAAGAGGTTGGCTGCTGGAAGACCCTATGTCTGGCAGAAGGACTCTGCACCATGCTACACAAGCAGCAGAACCCAGTCATGGCTGTCAGACAATTTATGCGACCATATCACCGCTTACATCTAGCCACATAACTCTCCAAACTGCAACCCCCTTAATATGTATGGGGCGCAGTTGAGAGAGAGAGAGAGAGAGAGAGACCAACAGAATTCTTTGTAACACCAAAGATGAACTAAAAACAATGATTATGGCCGCATTCACCTACTTAAACAAGGACACCGTCCAGAATAGTTGCTGGAGATTCCGAAGTCGATTGGAGTTCGTGCTTGAAGCCAATAGTGATTTTATTGAATAAATTTACTCTTTAGTATTTTAGTATTTCAACATATTTTTGTGTATTTTGGTAAATATACCTGTTATATAAGTCTTCTAATTTTCTATGTTTTGAATATTGCTGCCACATCTGGCCTGGTGCTCCTGCTATATATTTAGAGATTCTTGATAAAATACAAAGAAGGATCTGCTATGTCATTGGTCCTGACCTGGCATCCCAGCTTCAGTCACTTTCCCACAACTATAATGTATCTTCCCTGTGCCTTTTCTATAAATACTTTCATGGTAATTGCTCATATGAACTTTCCTCTATGACACATAGACATTATGAATTTAAGTGTAGTACTAGATTCGCGGCAAAGTCACATCCTTTTACAGATGAAATGGTTAGATGTAATTGTAGGTTCTTTGCTAACAGTTTCTTCCATCACACTTCTCACCTGTGGAACTCTCTTCAAAAAATTAAATGCAATGTCAATCGTTATATCCTGTCTTCTTAATTTCTATTCATTTTTACATCCTACCAACACACACACACACACACACACACACACACACACCCTACCTCCTGATGAGTAAACCGAATGATTACAAAAAGATCCATCTACGAAACACTGGAGTCGGGGTGCTGAATATAACATCAGTCAGCAAAAAAATGAAAGTGAAAAATTAATCTTACGTTTCGCTCAATGTGCATTTAATTTTCAGTGAATCTCAAGATTAGGAGGATGACAAAACTCAAAGTCAGTCACTAATGATCTAATGAGCCTAGGTTTCTGTTAAGGGGCCCACCCCTTTTTCATACAAGTGGATTCGCCCAGTATGTACTTGTACTGCTGCCGGTGAATACCCATGAGTGACAGTGACACTGACAGTGATACAGTGAGAGGGTGAGGTAACCGCTTTGTAGGAGTCACAGTTGCGAGCACGAAGACTCTGAAGGAAGTCATACTTCGATATTGAATTTCCCAGACTGTATATATATTATTATTGCTACTAACCGCATTTCTGGATCTACTAACCGTATTACCAATTGTATTATTACGCCAATACATTTATTTGCTATATTTCTTTCCTGCGTTTGTCATTCATTTGAGACCGGATTTCATCCCTCCAAAAAAAAACAGATTGAATCAATTGCTTGGTTTGCTGCTAGGAAAGTTAGTTCACTGTGTTGTGCTAGACAATTTGTTTCTCTCCAGAATCTATCTTACATATTTATAAGTCCTCTATTCATCTATGTTTTGAATATTGCTGCCACATCTGGCCTGGTGCTCCTGTTATATATTGGCAGATTCTTGATAGAATTCAAAGAAGAATCTGCAATGTTATTGGTCCCTACCTGGCATCCCAGCCTCAGTCACTTTCCCACCACTATAATGTAGCTTCCCTGTGCCTTTTCTGTAAATATCAAGGTAATCGCTCTCGTAAACTTTCCCCATACTTTATGAATTTAAGCGCAGTACTGGATTGGCGGAAATGTCTCATCATTTTATATTTAAAATGGCTAGAAGTAACCGTAAGTTCTATGCTAACAGTTTCTTTTCTTGCAGTTCTCTCTTGTGGAACTCTCTTCCGGGTTCAGGCGTTCCAGTTAACTTTGATCTTAAAAAAAATTAAATGCAATGATAGTCGTTACCTACTGTCTTTTTTATTACTCTTCTTTTTATTGTTCTTGCTCCTTAATAATGTTTTTATTTTTCTTATTTTTTCACAGTAACCCCCTTGTGTCTTAGTGGCTTTATTGCCTTGATTGGAGTGAAATAATTAAATAAAAAAAATATTACGATAACAACTATTTATCTTGATAGAAATATGCCACGGTTCCTTTAATGACCTGTTCCGCCAAACTTAATTTAGCGAAATGATACTGACTTGGTCTCAGCCCGAAAATTCAAAAGGCTGAGTTTACGAATGCTTTCTCGCCAGTTATGACTTGCCGCGTGATGTCTAAAAGGCTTGGCCTGATGTACATTCCATGTCTAGACATGTTTCTGCTGAATTAAAGCTGAAATAAGGAAAGAAAATCGTAAACGGAACGAATTGCAGGCAATTCATCGGCAGTTAATAGAATGTATCTATTAACATAGAACATTTTTATCTGAATATTTTTCAGATATTTGTTAGAAATTTCAATCTTTGGTTATCAGATTAGATAGATAGATAGATAGATAGATAGATAGATAGATAGATAGATAGATAGATAGATAGATAGATAAACAACAGACCGGGATAGATACATGATAGAAAGAAAATGAACTGATGATAGATAGATAGATAGATAGATAGATAGATAGATAGATAGATAGATAGATATTAACAGAGATAGATATGGGAAAACTGTGATAGATAGATAGATAGATAGATAGATAGATAGATAGATAGATAGATAGATAGATAGATATTTCAGTAGACTAGTTTAACCTTTACAGCGAGTCGATCCTAATGAAACAGGAAGTCCTGTCATTTTTATTTTATTGCTGGACACAATATTAATAACAAAATTTATGCACATAATATCGTATTGATGACACACACAGAAAGAAAATTGCAGTATCTTCTACACCAGGTAGTAAAGGAAAGATAGAAGAAAGGACTAAGCCCCAATTTTAAGAAAACAAAATGTACAGCCGTTGACAAGAGTGACAGACCAACATGCAAGCTACCATTTAAAACCATGAGTATCAAGCAAATACAAGACATTAAACATCTGAAAAGCCTTTGAACAGAGAATGAACAACGAGACACAGAAATTCGAAAGCTGGTTGGTAAAGAAAAATGGCTTCCAAGAGATAAACAAAGAATTAAGAAATGTGAAAAATTTGTTGAAAACGAAGAAATAAGTGCTAAACTGATATACAATGTCAGACCACTTCTATGACAGTAAATGCTGGTCAATTTCCTTACAGATGAAGAGGAGATTCGAGGCAACAGAGATGAGGGTCCACAAAAGGATTTAGAGAATACAAAGAAAAGAGTGTTGGATTGCTATGTAATATCTATCCTTCTACATGGCAGTGAATGCTGGACAATTTCCTCACAGATGAAGAGAAGACTTGTGCCACGTCTAAGCTATGCATAGAAAATCACTATAATGAGGAAAGATGGCTAGAAACATCTGACACTCGCGGAATATACTAAAAGCAAGAGTGGCTGAGGGAAATATCGTGTTTGTGTAAATGAGTGCCATAAGTAGGAGAGATAGTGAAAAAACAAATATTGATAACTCCAAGGGATAAGAAGTTGTGGAGATCCATGATAGGTTACCTTCTGAAAGGACATTTCACATTGAAGTACATTGTTGCTAGACAAATGTGCTTTAATGTACATATCTGTCGGTTTGCGTGTTTAATTTTTTTAATGTTTATCCCACTTCTATTAAATCGTTTGTCAAGTCATTAGACATGTGTTAATGGCTCAGTAAGTTACGCTCAAGTTACACTTTATTTGAACTTGTTACAGATTAAATGGCATTCCAATCAACGCCGTTAAAATATACGCTTAAAAACTGCTTTTATTTTATCAAATCTATTTTACTTCTTGATACCCTGTCGTCTCGAATACAGATAGCACTTTATAATTTACAAATTAATTTTTCAGTTTCCAAAGGCATAGGTATTTTAACTTGTTTCGTTTTGCAATAGATAAACACATTAAAATAGTTTTAATATTTTCTCATAATGTATGGCTTGTTCAGTATCCATGAAAAATTATATTTCTATATGACGTTAAAGAAAATTATTTGCCACACATTAATGTGGGTACGCGCGAGTAAGGTAAGGGTGTTCGGCTCGGTGAAACAAATCAGGAAATCAAATTACAACCAACATTTCTCTGATAGCAATGGCTTAAATAATAGGGTAGACTAAGCATTCTAGTCTTGCTGTAGAAAGCAGTATAACAGAAGGAAACGGGAAACCACTGCACTGTCCCCACTAACAAATCATGGCAATTCACAGATAATAAAGTAAAGGAAGTGTGGGCAGCTATGATCGCCAATTCGCGAAGAGGTGTGGCAATTTTAAGAGAAAATAAAACTTTTATAATTGTAATACAAAAATACCTCTATAAAATGCAGAAAATTTATTAAATTTTTTTACTAATTGTTCACCTAATACAAGTCTCAGGAGTCACTCAAGGCAGAGAATTACTGATTGAGGTTGTCAAACGTAAGAAAAGAAAGTAAAATGCGCAGCTTATGAAGATATGTACGAAATATCACGGTTACGTCTATACTTGAAGAGGTTAAGATTTTAGTGTTTTGGGAAGTACCCTCTCGGGAGTCACTTCCATAAAGTAACCGTTCTTGGTCAGAATCTATTTGAATGAAACTTCCTTCTTACTAAAGAGAGTGGTTCGCTACAGTTTACTTGGCGTGGTTGGTCTTTTCTGTGAAGATATGAACTGGTGCAACTAGTCTTCCCTCTGTCTTTTCTACAAATATTTTTATAGCAATTGTTCTAATGAGCGCTTCACCTTGGTTCCTCGACTGAATGAATTTAAGCGTGCTACTAGATTAGCAGTTAGGCCTCATCGTTTTACTATTGAACTATCTAAATGCATCCGTTAATTCTGTTATAATAGTTTTTCTCGCACTTCTCGCATGTGGAATTCCCTTCCGAGTTCTTGTTTCCCCGCTACGTAAATGCAAAGACAATCGCTATGTCTTTCTGAAAACTATTTATTGTTTTGTCCTTTCCCCTCGCTCTCTCTCTCTCTCTCTCTCTCTCTCACACACACACACACACACACACTCTCTCTCTCTCTCTCTCTCTCACACACACACACACTCTCTCTCTCTCTCTCTCTCTCTCTCTCTCTCTCTCTCTCTGGGTATGATGATAAACTACATCCGGCATCAAAGGGCTCTGATCGGAAGATTTGGGGGGTCAGGAGCGTGGAATCACCTCTTAACTGCAGTTGTTACCAGTTCCTGTCGGGGTAGTAGCACTTGTTAGGGTTCAAGCTATGGGCAAATAATGACCTCCCAAACAGTACTTTTTTTTATAAAAAAGCGACAATATATCTTTATAATAAAATGATACCCAATGCATTAAAAAATATAATATACCTTTTATATTAAAAACGCCAAACACACAAATATATATAAAAATATATTTCATATATACCTATATATGCACTAGTGCACATACACGAGTACAAAAATATAACAGTAGGTGAAAGAAAATAAAAACTACATACAGATATATGTGTGAACACATTCTTCACTACAGACAGAAACACAGAAAAGCCTACCTGCTAACAAACATATGCACGCACACACACACACACACATATATATATATATGTATACACGTATACACACATATACATGCATATATACCTATATATACACATACATATATGCATACGTATATGCATATATACACATACAGAAGCAAGCATAAATATATCAACCCACACAGCAACATAAAAAGTAAACAAGCCAAATATATATATATATATATATATATATATATATATATATACAGAAACACACAAACATACATATATACACACATACACATATACAAACACACGCATATATATAAAAAAAACACATAAAAACGCGAACTTAAACACACACATATATAACATCAGCTGTGTTAAAACACATAAAAACGCAAACTTAAACACACACATATATAACATCAGCTGTGTTAATCCACTGTAAGAGTCCAAGGGTATTTTTATGGAGTGGTTGGTTCTTTCCAAGATGGACACTTACAGAGGATTAACACAGCTGATATTATCAACTGGTTTACTAACATCCAAAAAAACACCATCACTTGATAAGACACCAGAAATGTTGAAACAAAATGGCTATTTTTGTAATGATTTTATAACCTATTTATTTTACAATTTTCGAATAAATAATTATATTTGCTCTACTCTGTATTGAGCATTCTTTTAAGAATAGTATTTGTTGGTTATTGGAATTTGTTCCGTATACACCAATCCTATAATTTTTTTGGCTGACATAATTGAAATAATTGAAGAGAGAGAGAAAGAAGTAGAGCAAGGTAAAAAAAAATTTGTATAAAAAGTAGGGAAAGGTGAGGGGGGAAGCATATATGGGTAAAAGCAGAGTCCAATAGAATTCATAGAAATGAATCAATGGTGTTATTTATTGAAACATCATCATAATCATAATATATATATATATATATATATATATATATATATATATATATATATATATATATATATATATATTTGGTTGGATAGATGTGAGTTTGTGACTCTGGGTTTCACGCTTTAGCGATCGTCAGACAAACTGATTAATTTTTTTTTTTTTAAATTTGGTTTATGTAGATTGCGTGTATTGGTGTTATTGTGGAAGTGGTGGGGGAAACTTCGTCGCTTATGTCATCGTACTAACGCAAACATCGATGTATGCAGACACATATACATACTTGGTCGTCCGTCGGGACTCATACATATATAAACATATGTGGGCAGTTTCGGATATGACATATGTATGTATACGGATGGTGTTGTGTCTATACATACGCATTTGTATGTTGAAATTTAAAGATTGGAAGTGTGGCGGAAATGTCTCGCGAATCTCTCGTGAATGTATACATGTCATATTATTTATTTTTCCGCTGAATAATATTTCCTCGCATGTATGTATATACGTGTGGTGGGGGTTTGTGTAAAATTATGATAGGTAAAAATTATTATTTATATTTATTTTTAAATTTTTGAAAAAAAATGGGGGTTTATTTGTTATAATTAAAGCTGGTTATTTGTTTTTGGTGACTGTGTATATGTAACAGGTAAAAATTTGTAATCCTTATTGGTTAATTTATATGGTGATGTTTAATATTTAATGTGCTGGGTGAGAGGGTAGCTTAATTTAATAACGGGTCTATATGATATGATGTCATAGTAATGTTGCAAGGGATTGGAGACAATGATAATATAATTAGCTAATAGTTATTGTAAATTGGTAGAAATTGTAAATTGGTAGAAATGATTAGTAACGGTGGTGGGAGAATGATAAAATCATGCATGTAGTTATAGTGGTGGTAGTTAGTGGTGGTAGCTTGAACTAAAAAGTGGTTGTTGGTGTTTTATTTTATTTTATTTTATTTTATTTTGTTATATGGATTAATTTATTTTGGTATAAATCCTGATAATAGGTATTCTGTGTAAAATTATGGTAGTTGAAGATTATAATATATAAATTATTATACATATATATATTTATTTATATTTATATACACTTTTCACACACACACACACATATATATATATATATATATAAATTATAATAGATTAATAAATAAATAAATAAATAAACAAATAAAATAAAAATTATATATTATATAAAAGAATAGATGAATAAATATATATATATTCATCTATTCTTTTATATAATATATAATTATTAATATTTTTATTTTTTATTTATTATATTTATTATTTTTATTTTATATATATATATATATATATATATATATATATATATATATATATATATATATATATATAGTAAAAAAACTTAAAACATCATATAAATCAGTTACAAATTTATTTCAGCAGATATACATATATATATACCTGCCTCATCAGACCGACTACATTTTATTAAATGATACAAATTTACCCAGACAATTTGAAAATAGACAAGACAAAATTTTGTTAAAAATAAACCACACAAAAAAAAGAAAATGCAGCGGAATTAATTTTTTTTTTTTGTTGGTGTGTTGGGGGTCTGACAGAGAGAGAGAGAGAGAGAGAGAGAGAGAGAAAAGTTGGGAAAGACAAAAAGAAAAATTTTGTATAATGAGTAGGGAAAGGTGACGGGGGTATATATGGGTAAAGCAGAGCCTAATAGAATTCATAGAAATGAATCAATGTTGTTATTGATTTAAACATCTTCACTATCATCATCAGTTTATTTTGTTCCAGGTGTTTATATACAAAAGCAAAGATGTCATTGGTTTATCACAGCTTTTATATTTGAGAATGTTCATGAAAATACAAAATAAACAAAACAAATGCAACCCTTGCATTTGCCTTATAAAGTCTCTCAGAGGACGAAACGCGTTGGTTAAGAATAGTTTTTCTTCTCTTTTATTCATTCTGTGTCTTTAGAGATATACCCTATTTGAAAATAATTTACTTAGATAAAATGCCTACATTTACGTTGATAAAATTCCTCGGGAAACGAAACGCGTTGCTAAAGAAACGTTTTCTTTTTTATTTATATTGTCTTTACAGATATATTTTATTCATTTTATTCATATCTGAACTTTTAAGTGGACACTGAGGTCAACACTAAATGATGACAGTCTATTTCATGCTTGAACAGTTCAGGCTCCGTGCGCTAAAGGTTTAGGAGTAAATACCAAATGGCTTAGGACTAATACCAAATCAGTTGGCTTTCGATCCCGGCTTGAGGCAATCGGATGTCTAGCCACACTGAAAAGCTGCGATTTTGTCTGTGGATGACTTTCTGTAAAATAATGTATTTCCTGTAGCAAAATTCGATTAACTTTTGTCGCAAACTAATGAAGAAGGGTTTAATTCAGTCTATTTTTTAAACGTCACCCCAACACCAAATTTCTAAAATCGTAAATAAGCATAGTAGTACTATGACTTTCTGGAGTCTTTTAGAACTTTTTGGGGAACTTTCTAGAACTTCCTGGAGCTTTCCAGAACTTTATGAAATCTTCTAGAACTTGTTATTTGTTTATTTATACGTATGTATGCTATAGCTATAAACTGTTAAAAGTTTTAAAAATACACGAGTAATATCGAATTACACCATTGACAAATTGAAAAATAAAGCTTCTGAAATATTTAAACTTTTTGCCCTTATTGCTTGTTTGGTAAAATCGTATATTCGGTGAAAGTGAACAAGGTGAGCCGTGTTCAGGCCCTGTTCTATACTGTTTCGTTCACTTCGCGCTAATTCCCTAGAAAAAGACACGAATCCATCTTCCTCCAGCTATGGGTTAAATAACAGAGTAGATTTAGCTTTCTTGCCTTGCGACAGTAACCTGTCCAGAAGAAGGAAAACTCTGAATTCAAAACCAACCTGGAGAGAGATGGGCTCCGTCAGGTTGTCTTACTCTAGGCACACCACTGTGGTTTCCTTACAAGACACACACGTGTACATCTATACTTACCCAAAACACGCATTCCATGTGTGCATCCTGGTGTGTTTCATGCAATTCAATCAAACCTGACAGTATTTTAATCTGCTATCAAATGTCACCAGAAGGTGATGCGCTTCACAGTGAAATTAAAATCTCCCACTTCGGCTGTGAAATATCCCCCCCCCCCGAGCAGACATCTACTACTAGACATTTATTTACCTTTTACACCTCGACACGCAGACGAAAGCTAAGATCAGTTTTATTTTTCTTTAATTTCTTTTTTTTTATTTCTACCCGGAGTGTCCCAGTTACCTCGCTGCATAGTTTCCACACCTAGATAAATGCTAAACGTAATAGTAGCTGTTTCCTTAGAATGAAACATTTGGCATTCATTTCTTTACTCCCTGGCCATCGGACTGGGATCAAAGTGTGGTATCTGTTTTCCTCGTCTCTAATAGTAATGATAATATATAGCCGTTTCCCTCCAAGAAAACATTTGGCATTCATTGACCAAGTAGCTAATGCTACTCGTTACGCTTTTCTTCACTCCCTGGCCGTCGGACTGGGATCAAAGTGTAGTATCTGTTCGCCTCATCTCTAATGGTAATGCTAATATTAGCCGTTTCCCTACAAGAAAACTTTTGACATTTATGGACCGAGCAGACAGTACTACTTTTGATTGAAATTTCTAAGGAAATTTATTTAGAACTGCTGTCCGTTGGAATTTATAAATCCTTTCTCTTAAAACAATTTTTCAGGAAAATAGGTTATCCCTCTTTCCAGTATTGATGGGGGCGTTTCCTGCCTAACCTTTTCTTTCAAGTCGTGTGGAATGTTAACATCTTGATACATGTTCTATCCATTTCAGTTGTTAGAAAAAGGTACTAATACTTAATCAGTCAGTCTATCAGACCCCGCTAATACTTTCTACTCAATACTCATGAAAACACTTTCTTAAAAACTTACTGTTTTCTACTTGAAACTGAGGAAAATAATATTGCAGGCAGGTGTCTCAGTTCTTTTGTATATCACGGAATGGTAATGGTAATATTAGCTGTTTCCCTACAAGGAAACATTTGGCATTCATTGACCAAGCAGCTTGTACTACTTTTGATTAAAATTTATAAAATCTTTCTCTTAAAACAATTTTTCGGAAATCTAGATTTCTCATATCCAGTAGCTGTTATCACTTGTTCCAATTTTGATGGGACTTTCTTTCCTAAACCTTTATTTGAAGTAAGGTGGAATGTCAAAATCTCGATAATATCATTGTTTTCTCTTTGACTTGCATGTGATATCCATTTTAGTTGTCGCTGCTGTTGAAAGTCCTCAAATAATGCGATTTCTGTTATTTGGTTCGGTTCTTTTTAATTCCGTAGTGCCAGTTCACAAGGTTCAAAGGAGGATGGTCATTGCAAAGACGCCCAGGGTTCACACACTCAAAGCCATTTTTAACCATTGATTTTAGAAAGTGGTTGTATACAGCTAACATGATGTCATGCATGACATACATATGAAAGTCCTGATCTGACGAGCTATTTAAGAACAGGGATTGAGTTTTCAGGTTGATGTTTTGTAGCAATTTGCAGGGTTGGCTGAAACTACTTCTGGCACAGCCTATTCTGTATTGAATTCGGACGTGTGTGTGTGTGTGTGTGTGTGTGTGTGTGTGTGTGTGTGTGTGTGTTATATTTCTTGCTGCTGCCTCCTGCTTCTTTTGTCTTCAATGAGCCTTGTCAGTGTTAAATTCTCTCAGCCTTCTTTCCTCATCAAAAATGTTTCGTCTCTTTTTGATTGTTAGCAACAATTTCTTTGGAGTTCCCAGTTCTGTAAGGAACTTTTGATATTTTCTGACTCACAACTGTTGTATGCTTTATTTCCTTGTTTTGTCAAACATTAAACTGCTTCCTCCCTGAAGTCAATAGGAATGAGACACATTGTCATCTTGAATACTAATGAAAACACTTTCTTAAAAACTTACTAAAATATATTGCAGGCAGGTGCCTTGGTTCTTTTGTATATCATGTACTAGCAGTAGAGCCCGGCGTTGCCCGGGGATGTAACAGTAAGAGATAGATCAAGTATCGACCATCATAAAGACTGAAAAATAAAATTGACAAAGATTATTGTTTAAGGTTGACGGACACGCATGTCTTAATTAGTTTTTTTTTTGTTTTTGTTTTTTTGTTTTTTGGGGGTTTTTTTACGAATTGGTCAAACCCATACTCAAACAAAAACATTGTTTTCAATCGTTATGAGTCTATCGATTGAATAGAATTTTATTATAAACAGCTGTCTTGTAAATGGAATTTTAAAGCATTCTGAATGTAAAAATAAAGAAAAAAGTGTGCAAGACAATAAGAAACACTACCTGCCAAAAAAAGTGAAGTTTTGTTGAAATCCGATCCTATATATAAACGAACACACACACACACACACACACAACCTGGGTTTTATAATAAGTATAACTCGATATGAGTTGTCCCCCTTTCATTCTGGCGACAGAATCATGTTTTATCGTGTTTTCAAATTGATTTCATGCATAAACAATTGTGTTTTTCCAAGTTTTGGCGCTGTCAGAACCACCGCAAGGTAATTTTACGCAGTCCTGTGAAGTTTTGTTGAAATCGGTTGAAAAATGTAGGAAATCCGATCCAATATATAAACGTACAGACACACACACACACACACACACAATCTGCGTTTTATAATAAGTAAGATTTGTAATGGTAATATCAGCTGTTTCCCTACAAGGAAACATTTGGCATTCATTGACCGATAAGCTAGTGCTGCTCGTTAAGCGTTTCTTCCCTCCCTGGCCATTGGAATGGGTTCATAGTATAGTAGCTGTTCTCATCATCTCTAATGGTAATGCTAATATTAGCCGTTTCCCTACAAGGAAACATTTGGCCTTCATTGACCGAGCAGCCTGTACTAGTTTTGATTAAAATTTATAAAATCTTTCTCTTCAAACAACTTTTCAGGAAAATAGGTTTCTCAAGTCCAGTAGCTGTTATCGCTCTTTCCAATCCTAACTTTTTTCCAGTTTTGATAGGCCGTTTCCTTCCTAAGCTTTATTTGAAGTAGTGTAAAATACCCTTCTCAATCTTTTATCTGAACTAATGATTAACCTCAACGTCATGATTATGACATTATTTTCTCTTCGAGTTACACGCGCTATCCACTTTTGTTATATATATCTATATAATCCCTGTGAGCGATGATATATATATATATATATATATATATATATATATATATATATATATATATTTTATCCTTCACCGATAGCATAACTCGGAGTTACATGCACAGCGCAATCTTCAGGTACTAGGTACAGACTGACAAAATGTATATTTATTAATATATACTTAATATGTCTGCTTTATTACATCGAGCACTATCATATATATATGTACCAGCAATATATGTGCGATAAATCATATATATATATATATATATATATATATTGTCATCCACAGACAGACTGTTTCGTTGTATCACAGCTCATCAGTGTGGCTAGACATCCAGTTGCCAATAGCTAGGATCGAAACCCGATTGAATTGGCCTTAGTCGGGGATTCTACCACTAAGCCGTTGGCGCATGGTAGGGATGAAGGTGAATTTTAAGTGCATTTATTTTTAGATAAACACCCAGTGACTGAGAGAACTCAATTCCATTTACCGAAGAGTCTTGCATTATTAGCCGTAATAGTCACTGTTTACA